CCCTTCCATTACAGCTTCTAACATACAGAAGCCTATGGAAGTCATAATTGGTAGGTTGTACCTGTGGTCGCTTTTCTTTAAAGACTTCCTGGTATATTTTTCCTAAAGATAAGGTGTTAATTTTGATGTTCTGACCATGCTCTCCACTCTGCATCCTGGAGCGTTCCTGCCATCTCTCTCCTCAGCGGCACTGTAGGATTGCTCTCTTCTCAGAACAATACCTTTGTTCAAGTCCTAAGAGTTTTGGAAGATATGATCCAAGTAGAACCCTTTTCAGTCTCGGAGATAAGCCTTATTTCAGCAATTCTTTGATACAACTTTTGTTCAGGCAATGGGGTTAGTAGAAAAATCAGTAAAAATACTAAAGAATTTGATTTTGAATACCAGAGAAGATTCAAGGGAGCTTCCTTTTTTTCCCCTAATATCACAAGATGCTGCACAATGCTTTATGAACATCAGGAGTTTAGAAATTCATAGAACAGAGCAAAAACTTTAATGCCAACATCTAGCAAACTTGTTTAGCTGAAAAAAACCTAGCCAGAAGCAGTTACAAAACAGCTATGGAACTAAAGAAGCTATGACAAGAATGCTAGTTACCCCTATTGCATGGGGAGAAAGGCACTCACTAATTTGCCCACCAGTCAGATGACATAACTCCCCATTCAAGACATCTGAACACAACCAAAGATGTTGAGCGTCTGCTTCCTGAGGATATCCACAATACTAGCAGAACTTGTACACTGACAGATGGAAGGACACTTGCTCGCTCAAGTCACCGACAATGGAAAAACACCAGGAATGGTAAACACCTTTTACAGATTGTAGATCCATCTTAGTGCCCACAGGCCACTGCAAAAAAAGGAACTATCCTGAGAACAGGATATGTCTGTGCAGTTGGAAAGCCAGAAAACTAAAAATGAGACACTGACAGATACCCTGTAAAAGGCATGATGGTTCTCTCGTGTATAAGTCATTCACTGTGATTTATTTCCCGAGTTGTCTCTGGGAGGTTTATTATTTGGATTAATTTGTGCTTGCTACTTACGTTATGCTCTGGTTTCTCTTCAGAAGGAATAAATAAACTCATTTTTTACCTTTGTTTGTATATTTGATTTTAAAGAAAAGATGTAACAATAGGTACTGGGAGATACTGGTAAGTATCCGGTAATTTCTCGCAACAGACATTTCTAATACTCTTTATAAAAAAAACGTACTGGGCCTGTCAAGGTTCTTTCTGCAACAATGAATAGTAGCGACAGGAATCCTTCTCTTCTGTGGGTTGGCACTGGGCTCTTAGGGTATTTATACACCTGCTCTGGGGAATGGGGGCTTTAATTAAAGCACCGAAAGCATCTCATGTATCACTTCAATATGGTGGCAGGGGCATTTTATCTAAAGCTTGCCAAACAAGCTTTTATATAAAGCACCCCTGCTGCCATTTTGAAGTCCAGGGATGCTGATGCACAAGACACCAGAGTCTGCTGTTGTGTGGTAATTACCGCACTCTAGCGGATCCGATTGAGTCTGCTCCAACACACTGTAATTACAGCACATCAGCAGTTTCTTTGCTCATGTATAGGCACCGTTAATGCCCCATAGTAGACCCTGAACAAATTAGCACAAGACCCTTCACAACTCACTCAGAGAGGCAGCAAGGAGTACACATCACACGTGGAGGAAATAAGAGAGCCTGTAACAAGTGAGATCAGGACCCAGAGGAAATAGCCTACAGGGGCCGTGTCCAGATGAGCACGGACGTGTGGTGTGGCACCACAGACCCATCTGCAGCACTACACACTGCACATGCAGGTGTTCCCTGTGCTGTTACCTTGCAGTGTGGGGGTTTTTGACCCTGGAAGATCCAGGGTCCAAAAAACTACACTGGCTGCTGGCCAGGCTCCCAGCTGCAGCTCCCCAAGGCCTCTAGGTAAAGCTGGGGCCCCCAGTTGCTGGCTCCAGCCTCCCCTACCATACCTGGGGTAACCTGCCAGGTGCCAGACCATGTAGCACAAGGTAAGCCGCTGCTACTTGTCTCTGGGGAAACAAATATCTGTGGACAGGGCCAAGGAGGAAATAGGGAGCAACAGGATCTCTAACTTGGGATGTTTTCAGATCAAGGGAGTAGCACCCTCTTGTTCAAAGAGAAAAAACTTTGGAGCAGGGCTTCCACTGTCTTGTCATGGAGGATTCAGTCAGGGGTTCTGCAGCCGTTCACTAGAACCAAAAGGTTGCTAATTTCCAACTTTGTGGCTTCCCTCTCAAAATATATCAAGATACAATATAGCAAGAGACCCTTTACTCTTTAATCAGGATAGTTCCTATTCTCTATAAAAAAAAGCAGTAGATATAACAACACTATACCAGTACATAAACAAGCTATATTACATGCATTTTTGATTATTTAGATCTGTTACTGAACTTTGGGGGATTTAGAGATAAACGTTCAGCACCGTACAGTACTTGGCACCTTGCAGAACCAGAGTGCACAATACAGTCGACTATAATAAACTACTAATGTTCCCTGAAAAGTAGCTTGCATCACCTTTTAAACATGGCTAACTTTAAAAATCAGAAATCCAGTCATCCTGTAAATTCCCTAAGATATTTAGCTATTAAGATCTTAGAAAGTTTCTTTCCTATTAATTGTGTTTACTCTTGTCCCAAAGCCCGTGAAGGACATTAACTACCCGTTCCTCTACATTTCTCAGTTCAGTGTTTCAGATCTTTTCACTACAAAAATTCCTGATCTTGCATCTGCATACCAAAAATTAAGACTCAAATCTATTGGCTTGAATGGGGAACTGCAGTTCAATTCATTGATTTGGATCACTGACCCCAATTTGATTCGCCCGAATCCAAATCTGAAGATTCGATGCCGATTTGGGGAATCAGTGATTTCGCCATAGATGCAGATTTAAATGTTTTTTCTACGTACCTAGAGGTGCAGCACAGCTCGTGAACAGTGCTATGCTGGGGTGGATGGAACGTCCCACAGGAGTGCGAGGGAAGGGGGCCCACATGCTCAGCAGCAAGCCCAAAAGTCCACCTCCAGGTCTGCTGGGGAACACACTGGGGGGCCCCCCCCAGACCCAGGAGGCACCAAACACTGAGCCGGGGAGCATTTGGGGGGGGGGGGGCACGCAGCACGCTCCCTGGCAGACCCAGAAGTGCTTCTGGTCCACTTCCAGGTCTGCTGCTGAGCACACTAGGGAGTACCCCATGCTCCTGTGGCACACTCCATCCGCCCCAGCATCGCAGCATTGACAAGCTGCCTGCTACCTTGATGTATGTAGAAAAAACGTTTAAAGCCGTGTCTATGTCCAAATCGATTTGGAAGGCTCCAATTTGATTGAGAGAGATTAAAGGGTCTCCTGACTTGATTCAGATATTTGGCCACCGAATTGAATCAGGGACCAAAGTTTTGCACAGCCCTAGTATTTATAATATACTCCTCAAAGTGAGTAATAAAAATAAGCACTATCAAAAGAGAATGGATATGGTAATGAAAGGTTTCAGGATTCAAACACCTGCAGCCCAATGGAAGCAAATTACATTGCTATTTCGTGTTCTGGTTCTGTCTCAAAGCAGCTCAGTGCTGCAGACGAATCTCAAAATGGACAGGAAGTCTGGAAATGATATTTTAATGGACAGCCTAAAGCTTTAATTGATGACTTTCAAGTTTAAACAGTTTCTGGTAATGATTCAAGTACCTATATTTTGGAGGCTGTTACTGTGCTGTAAGCCTAGTAGAGCAAGCTTTTCTAAAAGCCATGCAGCTATTAAAAAGTCCAATGAACACTGAAGGAGTGTACACCAGTGTTGAGTAGAAAGCAAAATCATATACAGTACACTTGTTTAGACTTATCTTGCAGTTCTCATAATTCTGGTATTTCATCTTATGATTCAGAGATCTTACTTCTTTATGAAAGTAGAGCTGAAGCTAAATGAGGTTATTCAACATCAGTTCTTCAAGATACTTTTAGTGAAAGTATGCTGCCCCCTAGTCTTCCCTTCAGGGAAATAACATGGTTTCAGAGGGGGAACCTGGGAAAGAAGTGACTTTCAACACAGATTTAAGGATAGGCAGAAGGTAGGGCAGCACCTTAAAGATTAAATTTATTCAGAAAGATATGACCTTTTGTTGGCAACAGCCTACTTTGTCAGATCCTATGAAGGGACCACTCACAGGTCCATGAACAAGCTCATACAAAAACACCTCATGTCTTTTTGAACAAGTTAGTCTTTAGAGGGTCACCCTGCCCTGCCTGACCTCAGACTAACAATTCTACCTTTCTGCCCATTAGAAATCAGCTTTCCTGACTCAGTGCCTTAACCACAGAGCTTGTAGCAGAGTAAGTAGTACAGAAATCTGGTTTTACTTCTACTCTAGGACTTTTAAGTATCAATGAACTAGATGTTGCTGTATAGAGTAAGTGGAGACCATATGGTTTGAGTTCTGCAAATACTTTTATTCTAGATGTAGGGCTTAAATCTTGTTGAAAGCAGCTACGTCCATTGATTGTACATAATCTTCAAAAGCTGTTATTCTTTCTTCCAACATATCTGTTCCAACTTTATCATCTTCAACAACACACTGAATTTGAAGCTTCTTGATACCATAGCCAACTGGAACTAGTTTGGCTGTCGAGAACAGAAAACAGCAATTGAGACATTCCATTCATCCAATACCCTCTATAAGAGTATTAATCAAATACTCATTCCATGATGCCATCTATTGCTTGCAGAAGGTACTTGGAAACAAACAGAACATTGCTTCACATATGGTTCCCCAAGTCAACCCTCGAGCTACTAAAAACATGAGACTCCAATGTAAGCTAAAGTAGTTTCATTCTCATTTTAAGTGTTTGCCATCCTAATTACAGCTGAGTATTTTTGAGGAGAAAGCAATTTTTTTTTTTTTTTTACAAGGGAGATATAATCCACTACAAGCAGCAGATCTTCAGATCATACCAGGAACTTGGAGGGGGGGGTGCCAGTGGTAAAAATCTCCTTTTGGAGTTAGTGAATTACCTCAAGGAATAAAAAACTGCTCACAGCACTCAGAAGACAAGCCCACAAGTTGACATCTAAGTTAAACTTCATTTTGGAACTGCTGTCTAGATCCATTTTTAAGCATCAAGAAACTTGAGCTACTATTCCGGTTTAATACTACTGCAATTTATTATTAACACCTGGAATTCCTTCTTTTTCTTTGAGCTACAACTCCAGCTCTGTGCCCCTTCAAGTATATTTCTCTATACAGTGCAATTTAAAAAAGTTACATTGCCTTCACTAGCCCACACAACCTTAATGATGTACTACTTACAAGATCCCCAGACCAAGCCGTCTGTCTGAATGCTTCGGACACACTCCTCCAGTTTGGCCATGTCCGTCTCATCGTCCCAGGGTTTCACATCCAACAAGATTGATGACTTGGCCACAACAGCCGGTTCTATAATGTGATAAGGACAGGAGGAGGAGGGAAGGGGAAGAAAAGCAACATTTAAGTACGAATGAATATGAATGAGTTAGTAACAAACTGCTGTAAATTCCCCAGGGTCTAGGGCATTTCACAAGAACTGCCCATTTACAAACATCTTTTCTATAAATAGAAATTTATAAAAAGTTGCGAAAGGAAATATTAAAAACATACAACAAATTCCTGTACTAAAGATACCTTTTGCCATCAAGCCAAACTTAAAAGAGATATAAGTTTTCATTTTGTAGGTTACATTCAGAGATCCTTTTCAGAGAAACTGAGAAAGGGAACACAATACAATGTAACAGTTTATTTTCCACAGATGGAATACTGCAACTGCTATGGTTCTGAACAGTTCCAGACCAGTAACTGTGGAACGCCGAATTTAAGAAGTAGATTGCCTAGTAAGAGGCTTAAATAGATCAGTGTTTTAGGCCCAAACTTCGTATGTCTATTTTTAAGGTAGGAACAACCCACCCGCCATCTTTGCTTTAACCTCAAAATGGACAAAGTGGGCAACTGAGCCTCTTAAAATTTCCTTGAGCAGACCAAGTCTGACCTACTATAGCTAGGGTTACCGTACAATTATTTTTTGGTCTTCTGTCCAGGCAGGTTTTTGAAATGCAAGTAAATGTCCAGGTTTTCGCTTTGCCTATGCTTTCCTGGCACTTCCAGCTTCACTGCCTAGGGCCGAGGGCAGGAGGGGAAGGTGACTCGAGTGCAGAGCACAATGCACTAGCCACAGGCCCCACATTTGCAGGCAGGTGAGACAGAGACAGCATACATCTGTGTCTGTGGACACCAGTAGGGGTGGGTGGCAAGAGGCTGTGGGATGGAAACGAGGGGCACCATCCCCCCCACAATCATATTCCACCGCCCCCCCAGTCCTCTTTTTGAAACTGAAAATATGGTAACCATAACTATAGCTGACAGTTCAAATACGATTTCTTAAGCTCCCTTAATTCAGTGCATACTGATGATCAAATCAAGTGTACAAGAACAAGATACAAAAAGTCACTTGCAAACATACTTTTTGACTTCTTAGATTCATACTGAGCAAGACGCTCGTCCCTCAGTCTCTTTGCTTCTTCGCTTTCCTGCAAAAGGAAGCTAGATTTAGAACAAAGCACGGATAAAAAGGCATTCTTCACAATACTGTCAAAGTAGACTGGCTTAGTCAGAAAAAAACAAATCATCAGCAAGATCAGCCGAAAGATGGTGATTTGGTTTTATTCATCATGTGACCAGTCAGTTAAAACAGGCACCCCTACAAACTCACTAGAACTTTATCCTAATTAGATTTCACATTAGCTTAGCCTGTGCTTAAGCGGAAGCCACATAAAAAAACCCCAAAAAACCAAACCCGAGTCTCCTTCAGATACTTTACAGACTTCACTTGAACCATGCAAATTCTGTAAAGAAGTAGGTGCTTCCACTAGATTTAAACATGCATGTAGTACGTTCCTCATTAACATGTTCTGTCCCCACACCCATTCAGCAAGCAGTCAGTTCCACCAGAGGACTATTTTTAGAGAGCCTCTCCGATTCAAACAAATTATGACCTTTTTACGATGTTAAACAGACCAACAGAGCAAAGATAAACTAAAAAAAGAAATGCATTTATAACTGAATTTTGGTAGCTGGGAAAACAAAAACTCATAGCAAATAAATAAAATAAATGCCAGTACACCTCCTCGTCATCAGATCCAAAGAGATCGATGTCATCATCATCTTTGGTATCTGCAGCTGCACCAGCTGTGGTATCCTCAACATCAACAGGACCATATTTCCCCAAAGCCTTCTTCACTCCTGGCAAACTAAATAAGAGAGCACAGTCTGTTAAAGATAACTGATTTTAAAAATGTATATTTCAGTTTTACTGAGGTTTTGATTCTGTTGTAAACCTCCAGTAAATATTTCTTGTCCTAACAATGAAACTCAAACCTTAATTATGTCACTATTTCAGAAGTGAAGCACCAGATTCCAATTCACAAGTGTACCCACAGTAAAGCATGCTGCTTAGACGAATATGGTGAATTTAATGTGCATAGAAAGCTAAACCTCTCATGCATACAGCAACTCTTGCTCCTGGTAATTGGATTTCCTAGAGTACACCACATAAGAGCAGCAACCAAAAGTTTCAGAACACAACCCTGTACCAAGAGGAGTTCCGCAAATTTTACTGTGCTGTTCCAAGTGCAGAAGTGATGGGATATATTACAGAAAAAAAATGTAACCACCACCAAATCAAATTTAACAATTAAAATGTTTTACATTAAATTGAAGCACATTAAGCACTGCCACTCCCCATTGAAATATTTTCAAGGAAATGCTTCATTATTGAAAATTAAGCCTCAGTGGGAATGGTAATATCAAAAGTTTTATCACAATGTCAAATCCTTGGGTTTTACTGACAGGTTGGTTCTAACTATGAAGTAGTTTCCCAATACTACCCAACACACCATAAGCCTATAATGTAAATAAGGATAAACTAAAATGCGTGAGGAACCAAGGAGAACCTAACAGGAACTAAATATTCCTGAAACCCAAACACAGCTCAAATAGCTCCATCTACTGCTAGAAAACCTAGAATGCAACTTTACATTGCCTGTTCATTCTAGTACCTTTTGAACTATGATTTAATTCCTGCTTTAGTCTTTCTAGATGTAGCCACTAACACCATAAGAGCATAGTTTTGTCTTATGCTTTCATTTACAGTATTGTGGGGTTTGCTTTAGGGATTTTTTTATTTATTTTTTTAATCAGACTGTTAGGCATTAGAAAAGCCAATGACAAAGCACTCTCCTTCTGAGCGGCTAGAAGAAATTACAGTACATTACATTCTTTACAGATCTTGTGAACTGGATTTTACAATTTCACCCCAACCCACATACTAACAATTTATTAAATAGTATTACAGGCTGTAACATCAAGAAAAGCCTAGGACAGAATGGATAAGAGACCAAGCCATCCATCTCTACAACAGGTCTTGGTGAGGCAATGTGGAAATGGCACGTACTAACACTGCCTATGCTGTACCTTTTCTAGGGAGGACTTCAGTCTCCATGGCTGTCAATACGGCACTTTTCATGACCACTAAATTCACTAAAAAAAGAAGAGAACACATTTGCTTTCATTTCCCTCAAGAACAGTGTCCTTCCTGGTCACTTGTCTGATTTAACCCTTCAGGGAGAATAGTCCAATATGAGGTTTTCCTAAGAGCCATTGTAATTATTGTGCTCCTGGCTCAGGTGGCTTTGAGACCAAGCTACAAAAGCCACTAGCGAGCAGCTATTGTACGTGCATGATTTTCAAATGGAAACACAAAAGGACTCAGTTGCATTGGATTAACCTGCTGGTTAAAATCCAGCCCACCTTGGTATCACCTTTAAACCATTATTTGCAGTGTATATAGAAGGTCATGCTGCTCAAGCCATGAGCGGCCACAAAGCCCGTCTTCCAGTGCTGGGGTTTCAGCCGAGCCCCTGAACACCTGAACACCGCATGTGCAATGAGGGAAGACCTGGAAGTGCAGAATCCCAGGGCCAGCGTCGCCAGGTGTATAATTATCGTATCTGTATGATAATTTCATACCCTTGTACAATGTGAGATCAATAATACTAGCAGAAGTGTTCAAAATGTGCAATAATTTTTTAGGCTAACTGATGCAGCATATGCAAAGCCCAAATCACTCTTGAGGACTTTTGAGCTTGCTATCAGTACCTTCTTTTGACTGCCTGCCTCAAAATAAAGAAGTCTTTCAACTTTGGTGACCCAGTTCTCATTCACTCACTGGCAAGTTACAGCAAATAAGATGTATTTGCATATTGACTTGCCTACTTTTTCAGCATACAATATAGTTTTTCAGTAAGCACAGCAACATTGAGCTTCCAATAAGATAATTTCCTATTTAAGACTTGGTGACGCTGTCCAGGGCAGAAGCAAGCCATCTTGGCCAGGCCACCCCAGTGCCCGCACCCTACCTGCTCCACAGCAGCAGCGAAGCTGGCACCTTTCAAAGACAACACACAGGCTCAACATTTAAGGCAAACCCCACCCCAAATAAAACAACCCACGCCTTTTGCGCGGGGGGGGGGGCTGCTCCCAGAGAAGCAGTGAGTGGAGGCAGATCCTACCTGGCCTTTTGCTTCTCGTAGGACTGGATGTGGTTGTACCAGCGCAGCGCGTGGCACAGGTCGGCGGGGGGCGGCGCAGACGGGCCGGTTACACTCCCCCCCTCAGCAGCGCTCACCCCTCAATGTAGCTCCTATCCGCCAGAAAGTCATTGAGCATATGGAGGCCTGCAGCGGTCTTGAGGTCCCCGAAGCCCATGATGGTAACAGGAAACCCAACCCCAACAGCGCCCACTGCGCAAAGAGGGCGCCGCTTCCCCACGCCCCGCTTATATAGGCGCCGGCAGAAGGTTCCTTTTCCATTTTGTTTCGTCACTATAGTGTCCCTCCGCGGAGAAATAGTCCCCTCGTCTTCCGCTCCGCTCAGAGCAGGGAGAGGGCATTACCGGACACGAACATAAGGAAACAGGGGCAGAAGGAAAGGTTTCAACTCTGGAGCGTGCTCGGCTGGCTCCACTGCGGGGACAGGGATTTTCGAAACCAGGTTGCAAGGGAGTGACGGAAAATGCCGAGCGCGGGTTCCGGAAATTGCCGAGGGCCGGCGGAGGGTAGGAGGGGGCGGGAGCTGCCGAAGCCGCGTGTTCCGGGGGGGGCGGACACCACCGAACCCGCCTCTTCTGGGGAGGGACGGAAACTGCCGAGC